GGTCCATTTAAACTGCAAGGTCAGAGGTTCAAACCCACCAGCCATTCCTCAGAAGCCCTACATAGAGTTGCTATGAGTTAGAATTGACTCACCAGCACTTAACAATTACTTTACCAAGCAGGATGTCCTTCTCCAGGGACTGGTCCCTCTTGATAATATGTCTCTTCCCCAGTTGTATTTTGAGCATCTTCCAACCACAGAAGGGGCCCTGCTGATACAACGGGTTAAGCATTGGTCTACTAACCACAAAGTCAGCCGTTCAAACCTACCAGTTGCTCCTCGTAAGAAAGCCACAGCATAAAGGTTTACAGTGTCAGAAACACTAGCCAGCAGGACTCCTCTGTCCCATCAGGTGGTTGTCAGTTGGACGGAATGAGGTTGACGGCTGTGGGTAGGGTCTTAAAGCCTGTGGTAATGATCCCGTTGGGGAGGAGTTACCTTGATTATGACGATCAGGCAGGATGATTGGAGGGTGTGTCCTCTGTCAGTCTTTTTAGAGATATCCTATTGTTTTGAAGTGCCATCGAGTCAGATCCGATTCATAGTGACCCTGTGTAAGTTTTCTGAGGAGCAGCTGCTGGGTTTGAACTACTGAGCTTGTACTTAGCAGTCCGGGACTCCCTTTTGAAATAGGTTCTTGTTGTTAAGTGCTGTCAAGCAGGTTCCGACTCATAGAGACCCCATATAGGGTTTCCCAGGAGAGGCTGGTAGGCTTAATTTGCAGACCCTGTAGTTAGCAGTCCAGTGCTTACCCCACAGCGCCATACCAGAACTCCATAAAAGGAGTAAATTAAGCAAAGGAGAAGAAGAGATGAAGGGAGAGCGATGTGAAACCACATGGAGCAGACGCTTAAAGAGACAAGGCCAACAGACAGAGCCTCCCCTGAGAGACAGCTCCCCGAATTCGGATGTCTAGTCTCCTGAACTGAGAATAGCTTTCTGTGTGTCAAAACCCTCCATGTGTGATGTTCCTGTTAAAGCAGCTCTAAGGAACTAAGACACCTCCAAACATTTGGGGTTCCTGTTGCTGTTTAGTGCTGTCAAGCCGGTTCAGACTCATAGCGACCCTGTGGAGGGTTTCTGAGGAGCAGCTGGGGGGTTTGAACTGCCGACCTTTGTTTCACAGTCCAGGGCTGATCCTACACCAGAACCATAATAGGAGTCTTGGGATTTGTTGTTGTTGTTGTTGTTAAGTGCCATCAAGTCATGTCCGACTCATAGCGACCCTGTATAGGGTTTCCAAGGAGTAGCTGGTGAGCTTGAACCACCGACCTTGCAGTTCAGTCCAGTGCATTCACCCAGCATCACCCCAGACTCCTTAGGCTCACACACTTCAGCTGTGACAGGTGGTCACTTGGAAGGCACCTCCCCTAGAGGGCGTGGGGTCCAGGGCACAGAGTGGACAGAGGGTGGAGGATGAGGTGGCATTCCTGGCAGCCAGAGTGAGCAGCTGGGGCTGCCATCCTCCCACCTCCACCCACCCATGTTCTCATTTCTAACGCCAGGTCTTCAGCTGGCATCACTGATAAGCAGGTCACTGTCACAGTAAACAAAGGCTCCTGAGGTGAGGGGACTTAGGTCAGGGACCATGCAGGGGATGGTGGTGCTGAGACAGTCACCCCGCTGGCAGCTCCCCTCTGCATGGTCTGGGACCCCAGTCCAGGTAGGCCCCATGCCAAAGACCCCAGGCAGGTCCAGCCCAGTCACGGGGTGCTGTCACAGCTGAGACTAGGTCAGTCTAGCCAAGCTGGCCGGGCTCCTGCCCCAGGGCAGTCAGCCAGGCCTGCAGACTGGGCACTGGATAGGGCAGGTGGTGGGGCTCTGGCTGCTGGGCTGAGCCGAGCTCTCTGACCTACCTGGCACTCGGGACTCCACTGGTCCCTGTCTAGAGCCGGAGCCAGATCTGCCTGCACACACCTGGCTCAGAGGCATCGACATTGCAGGGCTGAGGGTGGACCTGCTGCTGGCCCTCAGGATGTGGAGCCCATGCAGGGGCATGCTGGGAAGAGGAAAGTGGAGGAGGGTCCCAGGCGGACACTGGGCAGACCCCACATGGGAAAGGTAGACCTGGCAGAGAAGAGGTGCCCTCAGGGGAGCCAACAGCACGCAGATGGCCAAGGGCAGGCCAGGCCAACGAACCCTTGGATGGCTGGTGTTGGTCACTGCCCGTTATTTTCACAGCCAGCTCCCAGGAGACCTGCCACCCGGCAGGGCCTTGGCAGCCACTGTGCACAAAGCTTCCATCACATGCCCTCCCCCCCCACCCCCACCCCGCCAACACACACACACATCCCACATCGTGTTTGGAGCCCACAGTCCCACAATGATGGAGCCTGGTCCCTCTTGCTAACTCCGTCCATCTCAACAAGCATGAACAAAGGCCTGCTTACCTTACATATAGCACTCCCTCCCACTTCTCAAGCTGCTAAGCCTGCCCTGGGCAGATGTGGGGCCTGGGCAGAGACGAGGGGGGGCAGCACAGATGTGGGGACCCTGGCTAGTTCCAGACCTGTGCTGCATCCCTTCTCAGGACTACAGGCCTCTCTCACCCTGGGTGGACTCAGTCTGGCTGGTGGATGGCGAGTTCATAGAATAGACAAAGGAGGAGGCTGTGTCCCTTCGTGGGTGCCCCTCATACGGGGGGGCGGGGCGCTCTGAAGGGTCTCAGATAGGGCTCCTCCATGGAGCTCCCTGAGGTTCTGGGGTGGGACTGAGGCCTCTAAGACCCTAACTCACAACACGGGAATGCTAACAAGGACTTTATAAATGGACATGTGGCATTTGGAGGGTCATTCAACGGCTAACTGAGGAGGGGATGGAAGGAACCACAGGACAGCCAAAAGCAGAGGCAGGCGGGGGGACAGGGGGGGCCTCCCTGGCAAGCCATGCTGTGTTTCTGTACTGATGCTCCCTGCCTGGTGCACAGCGGTTAACTCTGGCACCCGCCTGGAACAAGAGTTCTGAATAAGTTTCAATCACATTCCTGTCCCCTAGCAGTCTGGTGGGAGGGGCAGGTAGGGCTCACTGTCCTCAGTCCATCCCACAGCTCCCGGGATCAAGCATGGCTTGCTCAGGCATTAGGCTGGGTCTTACAGGCCTTCTCTAAGCTTTGCCGCCTGCTTGAAGGAGGCTGGCTGGTGGCGCTGTCTGAACAGGGGCTGAGCTCAGTGGGAATGTGGATCACTTGTTCCAGTCATCCAGAGTAGGCAACCCAGCCACGTGGCACCAGGCAGGACAGGCTTCCTGCGGGAGATGTCTTGTAGAGCAGGACTGAGCAGGGTCACTATCAGACCACTAAGTGCACTGTGTGTTTGGGTTCATCTTCCCAGCCAGTTCTCTTAACCTCCCTGCCCACCGATTCTTCATGACAAATTAGAGAGTGAGGTACTCATTTGAAAAGACCCCTGGGATGGAATAAGTAACTACCAAAAGGTTGGGGGTGCAAACCCACCTAGGGATGCTACAGAAGTAAGGTGTGAGTCTGCATTTCTAATCAACCAAAAAGATCCTTAGGAGCAGTTCTTTCTAACACGTGGGGTTGTGATGGGTCAAAATGGATTCGTGGGCCTTGGGTTTGGGTTCAGGTTTGGTACTTGTTTAACATTTGACTGTTCTCTAAGTGCTGGGAGGTTTGGGGCTTTGAGGCACCATGACCTTGAGGAACCTGTGTGGGTTGACAGCAGACATGGCAACAAAGATGATCCCAGAGACTGGTTCTGCTCAGGGAGCAGGAAGGCCCTAGAGGTCCATGGGTGGGAGAGGGAGGGGAGGGCGGCCTCCCCAGCTGTGTAGAGCTGAGACCCCTTTGACCTAAACCAGGGGGCGATGGGGAGGCCTGAGCCATCCGATTCTCTAGCTTCCTGCCAGGTGACTTTAGCTCAGCAGAGAGGTTCACAGGTCTCCCCAACTTGCAGGAATACGGCCTCTTTCCCCTTAACTGTATCTGCGCTCCGAAAGCTCCTCTTGGTTGGGGACGCCAGAGCTGATACCCCAGCATTTTGCCCTAGCCCAGGTGCCGGGCACACTGGGTGGGGGGCTCGTTGCTCTGTTCCTAGGTTCTGGTCAGCTAGCTCACCATCGCAGCTAAGGAGGGCACCGTTTAGCTTGGACTGCCTGGGTCAAACCCCGGCTCCATCCTCCGTAGTTTCGTAACCTTGCACAGAGGGCCCCTTCCCGAGCCGATGGCACCCCGCACTCCTGACATGGTGGCGTTTCCACGGGGCACTGCCAGGCCCGTGGCTGTGAAGGGGCTGCTCCACTTTAACAAAGCCTTTGAGGGAGGAGACAGCAGGGCCAGCCAGCCAGCTGGGGACAGATGGTTAAAGAAGTGCGAAGCTCAAGGTCACGCCGTTTGGGGTCCAGGTCCGCGGTGCCAGAGCCTGGCAGCAGACCCGCTGGGTTACCGAAGCTTCGCTGTCACCCTGTCATTAACGTCGCCAGAGGGGAGGCGTCTCTGAGTTCGCCAGGGACTGTGCAGCCTCGGCCAGGCGGAGAGGCGCCTGACCCGCGCGCACCGCCGCCTCCGCGTGTCTGTGCATCCGTCCATTCCGCGCACCCTGCCGCCCGCCCGCGTGCCCAGTCTACTTCCCCCGCGCTCCCTGCCGCGGGCCCGCGCACCCCGTCTCCTCCGCCTGCGCCCCCAAACACCCCATCCTTTCTGTGCCCCCCAAACCCCGTCCCCTCCCCCGCGTATCCCTTCCTTCCTGCGCCCCCAAACACCCCGTCCCCTCCCCCGCTCACCCTTTCCCTACTGCGTCCCCCAAAACAGTCTGTCTTCCCACCCACCCCGCGCATCCCGTCCTCTCTGCGTCACTCTGCCCCCCCATCCTCCGCTCGCGGGCCCGCGCACCCCGTCCTCCCGCGCTCCCGCCCGGCTGCCGCGTACGGGGTGACGCAGGCCCGCCCCCCGCCGCCGCACCCGGCCCCCACGGCCACCTCTAACGGTCCCGCGCCCGCGCCGCGCGTGCGCCCCGGTCCTGGCCGTGGGGACTGAGCGGGCGATGGAGCCGCTGAGCTCGCTGCTGTGGGTGAAGGCGCAGAGCTGCTCCGTGAGCCTGGAACCCGCGCGGGCGCGGCTGCGCTGGTGGAGGAGCCCGGGGCCCGCGGGCGCCCCTGGCGCGGGTGAGTGTCGCCGCGCTCGGAGGACGGGGGACTGGAGGTCCCTGGGGAAGGGGAGGTGAGGCCCTGGGGGGCTGGGGACTGAGAGGCCAAGGGAGAGTCCGGGGTCGCGGGGCTGGGGTGGGCTGGGGTGGGAGGGGGGCTGTGCAGGGCTCTCAACGGCAGCTGCTAAGGCAAGGTCCTGTCCGGCCGCCGAGGGTATTGCACTTTGGAGACTGGGGGTGACAAAGAGCGATCTGAACGAGGAGGGGAGGGGAGGAGACCTGGAGCTGTGAGCCTCGAAGCCCCTTCCCGAAGTGATCCCCTGGGCCTGGGACCTGATGATGGCAGCAGAGGAGGTCAGCAGCCGTGAAGGGTGACCTGCGCGGGGCTCTTGCCGACACGGGTCTGTAAATACCTGCAGCGTAGCCACTGGGACAGGCCTGAGAGGCTCTAAGGAGCCGGGACGTCTAAGGACAGGAGTGGTACCAGGACCCCAAGAGATGTCAGGTTGACCAGAAGACAGTGCTTCTCTGCGCCACTTGAGGGGGTGCTGTCGTGGGGTGAGGGTACCCCCTAAGTAGTTAGAGAAGGGATGTGCTGTGTGTGTGGCCAAGGCAGTTCTGGGTGGGGGAGGGCGTTCATTGTGATGCAACAGGCTGGAGGATGACCTTGAGGGTCCCCCAATGCTGAGAGGTGAAGTTTATGGAGTTCTCCTTTGCATGCAACCTACTCAATGGCAGTTAACAACAGCCCCTGACCTGCAGGGCGTGGGCCACTCACAGAGGCAGGGTGACCTGCAGAGGAAGTATCACCTGAGCTTGGGAAGGAGGGGGGCGTGCCAGGGGGGCAGGTGCAGATCTGTGTGGTTGTGCGGCATTATATTCATCTGATCTTTCCCAATTGTTTAATGAGTACCTATCGCAGACAGGCAGAGTGTTGGTGTGGTGCTATAGAATCGGCACTGGACTGCAAGGTCTGTGGTTCAAACCCACCAGCTGCTCCTGGGAAACCCTACTCAGGGTTGCTCTGAGTTGGAAGCAGCCAGCCAGCACTTATCAACAATTGGGGACTGCTGCAGTGGGGCATTTTTCATAAAATGGACATGGGGGGTGTACAGGCAGGAGAGGTTTGTTTAAAGGAAGTGGGCAGTGGCTAAGAGACTAAGAGACGGATATGGTAGGTAGTGGCAGATGGGAGATAGAGTTCCCAAAAGGAACAGTTAGTGCAGGCCCTAAGACTCCAGGGAGGAGAGGGCAGGCGCTAAGTGTGTCTCATCGGCTGGGATGGAGACTTCAGCTTTACTTGTGAGTGGACCAGCAGCCCTAGAGAGTTCTAACCACCCGGACATTTTAAAAGGACCACTGGCCACTGGCTAGACAGGAGAGGAGGGATGGTTAGGAGCGAGTGGGACGTGCTGGTTTACTGATACATGAGCAAAGATTCCAGGTTCAGTTCCCATGGAACTCAGCTTTCCCTGAGAGAGGGGGCCCCTCAGGGAAGCAGGGATTGGTTTGCATTTTTAATTACTGGGTGCGGCTTTGGTGGGGAGGATCAAGCAGCCTTGTGTGGCCTTTCCAATGTCAGGATATCTTTCAGGCTCTGCCTCATGTACTGTGGGTGGGGAGGTGGGCGCTGAGACTCTGCAAGTGGGCTGGAGAGGGTGGGAGGCAGAGCTGGGACTAGGGGTTGGCCCAGACTCCCGGCTCAGGCTTCTGATTTGCCAGCAAAGTTAGTTTCCTGCCCTGGGGCTCACTAAAAGAGTCACAGGGGACAGGGGTCAGTGAGTGCAGGTCTGAAGCTTCTTTCTATGGTCTTGGGACATCTTCTTGGGATAAACGTCATGCTCCAACATTGCCTTCACCTCAGCACCCTGCTCTGTTGAGTACCTGGAAGTAACCATGCCCCCACGGGAAACCGTGAATCTGCGCCCATCCTGAGGCCCGGCGGTTCTGAGATGTCCTTAGATCCTTTGGTTTAATGAGGACAACTGTCATATTTTGTGCTGGCAGTGAAGCTGGGGTTGGAAGATCAATGGATCCAAAGCCAGCCCTGGACTTGTCCCCGCTGGGCATCCTGCTTCCCTCAGGAGCCGAGAGGCCGTGTGGACGCTGGACAGCCCCCGTTCTGACTGGGTGCCAGAGGCAGGGAGCCGCGTACCATCTGTTTGTTCAGCCACCATTATGGCTTGTGGTCTCCACATTCTGGGCTTTGTGTTGGATCTTCTTTTCCCATCTCCTAACGCCCATGGCTGCCTGACAGCTTCCTGGGGATGGTCACTCATGCTGACTGGGCAGGTGTGCCTGTATGGGGGCATCCAGGGCCCCCCACCTGGCTGATCCCTTTGCACTTTCCGACACAATGTGAAAACTGCAGCACCGTGAGCTGCCAATGCTGAAATAAAGCCGCATCATCCCTTAGCTTTCCCTCTGTCACTGTGACCTCCCTAAAGAGCCAGGCCCCTAAGAGAGTGCATAATGTGTTCGTGAGGTCACCACGGCAGAATTGGAACCAGGCTGGGGCGTGGGGCTTAGGCAGGGAGGGTGCTGGCCCTGAGGTGCTGGGCTGGGCTTCCTGTCTGGGCCTGTCTGGCTTGGTTGGGCCTGGGGGGCAGGGAGTGGGGAGGACTGTGTTCCCACAGGCTCCCAGAGGTCCATGGGTGGTGTTTGGAGGAATTGAGAGAGGGATGAGTTCAGCTTGGACTAATGGGGCAAAGATACAGCTAGGGCACCCAGTGGGCCCAGAGTGCCTAGGTGTTGAGTGTGATCAGCCAAACTGCTTCACTGAATGCTCTCTAGGACTCTCATTGCTACATTTTCCATAGGGTTTGTAGGCTGTTATTCAAGATTATCAGGTCTTTCTGCCACTGTGTTTCAGGGGACTTTTGAACCTCCAACCTTGATGTTGGTGGCTGAGTGCTCAGCCATTGAGCCACTGGGGACCCTCCTCAGGGATCTCACCTGCTTTATGAGACCTGGAAGTGGTGGTTGGTGGCTGCAGGGAGAAGTTGTGGGAGGGGTGTGGGGGGATAGGGGACCTGCCATCCATTCCTCCTCACAGCTGCCAGACAGGGAAGGGTCCAGGCACCAACTAAGATGAAGAAGAGTTGACAGCTCCTTGGTGCAGTGTTCTGGACTTTGGTGAGGCGTTGGCCCCAAGAGCCTGTGAGGGAGCTAGGGCCCAGCTGGGCTGGCCTGGTTGGAAGTAGGGCAGACAGGAAACAGGAAGTCCCAGGGGAAAGCCTCTCAAAGTGGGACAAACAGCTGAACTTGAAAGTGACTTGAAATTGTAGCTGAATTATAGCCCGTTATATTCCGGCTATAATTCAGCTACAATTCAAGGGGCTTAAAGAGCTCTGGTTCTGCTCCCGTGAAGATTTACAGCCTCGGAAACCCTGTGTAGGGTCACTATGAGTCAGAACCGACTCCACGGTACTCAGCAACAAAGAGCTCTGGTAGCGTAGTGGTTACGAATTGGGCTGCGAACCTTAAGGTCAGCGGTTCGAAACTACCAGCTGCTCCGCGGGAGAAAGATGAGGCTTTCTACTCCCGTAAAGATTTACACCCTTGGAAACCCTGTACAGGGTCGCTATGGGTCGGAACCGACTCGACGGCACTTAACAACAACAACAACAGCGTAGTGGTTACGAATCGGGCTGCAAACTGCAAGGTCAGCAGTTCAAAACTACCAGCTGTTCTGCGGGAGAAAGATGAGGCTTTCTACTCCCATAAAGATTTACAGCCTTGGAAACCCTGTACAGAGTCGCAATGAGTTGGAACTCACTCCACGGCACATAACAACAACAAAGAGATACTGGATTTGTTCTTTTGGAGTTGGGCTGGAAGGGGTGTGTGTGTTTGGGGAGGGGTGCCCAAGGAGAGTGGGATGCTGGTGGTCAACAATGAGGAATATGGGGGAGGATGCTGGCTCCGGGGCTCCACCTTTGACAGGGAACCTCCCCTTCCCTCCACAGCCCCCTAAGGGAACCCTCCAAGGCTGGTGGGTTGCTCCCTGGCTGGCCTCTGCTGTGTTTATACTGGCGCTAGAACCTTCCCTGCATGGCAAAGCCTGGGCAAGTTGCAGATGCTTACAAATGTAAAAAATTAAAACAAAAAAGATGGTATTGTTATAGTCTAAAAGTGTATACAGCCATTTGTACAAATACACTGCAGTTACCACTGATGGCTTCCTTCAAGATGTGCAACTATTCCCAGCATCCTCTGCGGAATTGTTCCTAACTAATACTTTGCCTACCACAAGAATAATTCGTGTCAATTTAATAAAATCTAGAACACAAGAGCACAGCGGGGGAGGGGAGAGCCACCCTTAGTCTCACACTAAAAAGGAAACAGTTGTCATGGAGATGATGCCCACTCATGTCACCCCACCCCCACCCCTTGTATGTGTCAGAGTGGAACTGTATTCCAAAGGGTTTCCGGTGGCTGAGTTTTCAGAGGTAGGTCGCCAGACGTTTCATTTGAGTTCCTCTGGGTGAACTTGAACTGCCAACCTGCCAGCTAGCTGCAGATTACATTGACCGTTTCACTCCAGTCTCGCTCTGGTTGTTGTGAAGTGCTGTCGAGTCGGTTCTGACTCATAGCAACCCTGTAAAGGGTTTCTGAGAAGCAACTGGTGAGTTCGAACCGCCGACGTTGTGGTTCAAACTGACCATGCAGTCCAGTGCATTATCCTGCAGTACCACACCAAGACTCCTCTTAAGTAGTGATTAATATGTTGTGTTTGTGTAAATAAGGAGTTCTTGGTGTTGCAAATGGTTGAGCACTCAGTTGGTGGTTTGAACCTACCCAGAGGCACCTCAGAAGAAAGACCTGGCTATCTGCTTTTGAAAATAAAGTGAAAAATCTTGTCTAGTGTAGTGGTTGCGAATCGGGCTGTGAACCTCAAGGACAGCAGTTCGAAACTATCAGCTGCTCTGCGGGAGAAAGACGAGGCTTTCATGCTCACATAAAGATTTACAGCCTCGGAAACCCTGTACAGGGTCACTATGTGTTAGAACTGACTCG